TTGGGAAGAAGTTGCACAACTTCTTAATTGCTGGGCCTGGACCTTGAAGATATGACATTCTTCCTCATTTTGAGGGCCCTCCACAGCTACATATTACTGTGTCAAATCAGCTTGCTTTTCAGGGACTTCACCCTGAGAGAGCAACCAGAAGAAACTGCAGTGCATGCAAGTTATGAAAGTTAATTGGGCCAAGACACAGCACTAGTAGTAAAAGTGCTGGGCTCTGCAGGTGCCCAGCTCCCATCTTGGTTACCTGTCCTGCTGTATCTCTGGTGCACACTATACAGTTCAGGATGAATGTATTCAATAAACTAGCTTTTAATTGGATCATAGAGCAAGCCTGAATGCGGGAAGTATCTAGTCCCATTCAGCAAGCTCTGCTGTAACTAATACACCCTTGTTCTCAGCATAAAACCTCACTAATGTCTACTCAGTCTAAGCTGTTCCCAGCTACTAATAAGTTGGCCCAGGCAGATGTACAGGCATCATATAGGAATGTGCAGCTCCCTACTTGCCCATGACTGACTGCTGGCAAGCTTAAAAGAAAAGGCATTTCACGCTTGGTCTCTTTGATCTCAGCTCTGTGGTTGCTGGTCATTAAAAGTGAATGTTTGCTCTGAGGGCTTTTGGTGTCCTAGCCAAAGTGCCTCTTCACTTTTGGGTCTGTAGCCTAATGCAATTCTGACTAAGCCACGGCAAAGCACAGCCATATCCAGAGAAGTCAAGCAGCCTACTGGAGTCTGCTGCAGTGTAGTGAAGCTGGGGAAATAGAGTTGTCCATATTGTTTGGATAGATACAGAATCCTGGATTTTCTGTGTCTTCACCTTAGTCAGCTGAGCCACAAAGACGTTAACCCAAAGAAGTCCTTAACCTGCAAATTTTTGTAGTTTATGACAATCTTTTAGGATAGCATTACCATTTGCTTTTTCTATTGCTCCATTCCTCACTAGGAAAGATTCTTGACCTGTTCTCACCTGGAGGAGCCAGCCCTTACAATTACACTCTCATGAATTGCTTGGATGACTGTCAGGAAAGGTGAAAGTTAGTGTTTCTCTGCTTTCTCTGTATTGATTCTACTGCTAAACATTAATGTTACATTAGTGTCTGGGCTAATCACATCACTGTCCCAAGCTGATCTTTGGAATTCTCAGGAATCCACTTCAGTCTGGGAGATGCCTTGGTTTGCTGCTAGGACAGGAATGGAGCTAAGTTTCATCAGAGAGCCCTGGAAAATACGGTTTGATAGAACTCAGTTTTCTTTCCACAGATCTGTTTATAGAAAGCTGCTCATTCTGTTGTTTCAGGTGATCACTGAAAAGTCACACACATATGTCCTCTCTTTAATTCAAAGCCAACTCTTCTTGCTGATTGCCCTGTTTGATTGCTGCAATTCTTTATCCCTGTCCATCTGCCATACTGCATCAGCAACAGAGGCAAGGTGTGGCCATTGGAAAGCCATTAGCAATGAAGCTGTGTTTGGTACATTCCATAGAGATCAGCATCACAGCTGATGCTTGGTTTTGCTAGCTGAACTATCCTTCCTTTGATGAAAGTGGCCTTTCAGAGGCTGCTGTGTGCCTCTTCAAAGGTGCTTTTGGATGTGATTATACTCCAATTGGTTATTCCCAGATCTTTTAAAAGACTTTTTTCTGTGTTGAGACTGTCGTAGTTTAAAACCAGTCAAGCAGCTTGTTCATTCACTCCCCTCCCTTCTTTCCCTTCTTCTTTCCTTCCCCCCCCCCCCCAGCTCCCAGAGGGCTGGGGAGGAGAATCAAAAGAATGTAACTCCCACAGGTTGAGATAAGAGCAGTCCAGTAACTAAGGTATAGCACAAATCACTGCTGCTACCACCAACGATAATAGTGATAAAATAACAAGGGAAGAGAACAAGATACCCCCCACCAAAATGAGTCCGACCCACACAGGAGCCCTGTGCCCTTCCGGGTAACTCCCAGTTACCTCCCCGGGCATGACATGCTGTGGTATGGAATACCTCTTTGGCTAGCTTGGGTCAGGTGTCCTGTCTCTGTTTCCTCCGGCCTTCCCTCCTCCTTGGCAGAGCATGAGACTCAGAAAGTCCTTGGTCAGAAAACATGACTTAGCAACAACTGAAAAAATTGGTGTTATCAGCACTGTTCTCAGGCTGAAATCCAAAACACAATGCTGCACCAGCTACTAAGAAGGAGGAAAAAATGACTGCTACTGCTAAACTCAGGACAGTATCCACCCCTTATTCCATACCATTCACGTCATGCTCAGATCCCACATTTTCAATATACCATCACTCTTACATATATATATATATATATACATCCACATACACACACAGACAGAGAGAAAGAGATCATTTCTTAGTGCATGGACCAATCCCTATAATGCTGCCAAGTCCATTCAGTCCATGATGTCAGGTTCCATCTCCTGTAACAGTCTTTCAGGGCAGGAAAGTCTGTGTGCAGTGTTGGATCGTTGCCTGCTGATGTTGATCATTCCTTTACTGCAGAACTTGTCTGGTTCTATCAAAGTTCATTCTCTGTTGGGATGATGGTTGGAGGGAAGTCAGGGCTAGTCGCTGGTGACCCGAAGATGTCTGGTTGATGGGCTATAAAAGTATTACACAGCAGGCAACAGCATACAATTAAGTTCATTGGCTGTTTTCCCCTAAAATCAAATCTCCTTGAGGTATACATTGAACTTCCCCATCTTCCCGCATTACCCACCAAGTATATCCAGGTCCCTGAGCAAAAGCAATCCCACAAGTGGGTTTGCCTTTACTTGAAGCAGGAATAACCCAGACTCTCTTCCCCAGCAAATTCTTCATGTACACCACAGGAACTTTGTTCCCCTCTACAATATGTAAAAGTTCTGATTGGGCTGGGCTAGCCCTGTTGGCAGATCTTCTGGTGTTGACCAACCAGGTGGCCTTTGGTAAGTGTGTATCCCAATGCTTGAAAGTCCCCCCACCCATTGCTCTCAGTGTTGTTTTTAACAGCCCATTGTACCATTCAATTTTCCCAGAGGCTGGTGCATGGGAGGGGATGTGATATACACACTCGATGCATGCTCTCTGGCCCAAGTGTCTATAAGGGTGTTCTGGAAATGAGTCCCACTGTCTGACTCAATTCTCTCTGGGGTGCTGTGTAGCCACAAAATGTGTTTCTCAAGGCCCAGGATAGTGTTCTGGGCAGTGGCATGGGGCACAGTGTATGTTTCCAGCCATCTGGTGGTTGCTTCCACCATGGTAAGCACATGGTGCTTGCCTTGGCGGGTTGGTGGCAGTGTGATATAATCAATCTGCCAGGCCTCCCCGTATTTATACTTCAGCCATCGTCCTCCATGCCAAAGAGGCTTTAACCGTTTGGCTTGGTTAATTGCAGCACATGTTTCACACTCATGAATAACCTGGCAATAGTGTCCATTGTTAAGTCCACCCCTTGATCACGGGCCCATCTATATGTTGCGTCTCTGCCCTGATGGCCTGAAGTGTCATGGAACCACCGGGCCAAAAGTAATTCACCTTTATGTTGCCAATCTAAGTCCATCTGAGCCACTTCAATCTTAGCAGCTTTATCCACTTGTTAGTTGTTCTGCTGTTCCTCAGTGGCCCGACTCTTGGGTACATGGGCAGCTACATGACGTACCTTCACCACCAGGTTCTGCACCTGAGCAGCAATATCTTGCCACAGTGCAGCAGCCCAGATGGGTTTACCTCTGCATTGCCAGTTGCTCTGCTTCCATTGCTGCAACCACCCCCACAGGGCACGACCCATAGGTTTTTAAGCACTATTTGTTTTGTTGGTGTTCACAGTATGAGGGAAGCATACAAATGTGTTACTTCTTATGCTAGGGGTCTTACTACACATGCAATCAACAACCCAGGATTCTTTATTTTTCAAGTCATTGATTCATATTATATTGATTTAGGCATTTAGCTCTGCAGGCCGTTGGTTTCTTTCCTTCTCTGCTAGGTAAGAAAAAAGCTGTAACAAAAACCCCAAGTAAGGCAGTCATGCAACTTCTCATTGGGTTGCTGTGGTTACAGTACATGTTCTGGTGACATCAGGGAGGGCTCTGTAATGCTTGCGTGATGGACTGCTTTGGTGCCTCTTTTGCTTGAAGAAAAAAAAAAGGAGTTGAAGGGGAAAAAATTAATTTGGCCATTTGCATCTTTCCTTCTAGTTACGTTTTCATAACTAGGTGATGAGTGTTAGTGGTTTACAGAGGAGCAAGTGGTGATCTTGTTATTAGCTTTATATAATACAGCTAAAAATTATTCTAGTTAATATGGAAACGTAACTATTTTTCCACTGAGAAAGAAACATTTCACTGTTTCCAAGCTTTGAAAACTCCCCCAGTATCACCTTTTGTCTGTCTAGGTTTTCCTGCTGTTTTCAAGGCTATTTGAGTTTTTTCAAGTTCTTGCATTTCACTTGTAATACGGAACAGCTGATCATCCTTGCTTACCTGGACTCAAGGTACACAGGGCTTCAAAAAGTGACAGGATAAATCCATGCAAGAGGAATCCCTCAGATACAAAGACATCAGCCTTTGAAGTTCCTGAGCTGCTGGTGAGGGAGGGATGGGACAGTATTCTAGGAAGGATTCATAGCATACTTTCTTTGATTTTATTCTTTTTCCTGACATCTGCTTTTGGTCACTGTTGAAAGTGAACAGTGTGTGAAGTGCATCAGTTGTCTGACCAGCTATAGACACAGTTATATTCTTAGGTTCTCATTGTTGCTGACTATGATAGCAAATTGCAATTTGGTTTGATAAATAGCATCAAACCCTAAGAAGTACAATATCCTGCATATTGTTTGAGGCTCACAGAATTGTAATGCAATTTGGGTAGGCTTATTCCTTTACAGGAAAAAGGTACTACTTTGGGGTAATTGTTTAGGTCAACAACTGCATGTTCTCTAACTGAGCTGCTATTTTCATTGCAGACCAAGCAGTTCACCCATGTTAAGAGTCTCCTGTAGCACAGTCTCCACGATGGAAAAAGTCAGATGTGCTCAGTACAGACAAAGGAAATAAGCACCCTTGAAAAAAAGTCAAGGAACTCTGGGAGCAGCCTGCAAGACTGTGTTTAAAGTAAGTAATGTCTTGCCTCCTAACAGGTTAACTGGTTACATCCAAGTCAAGCAAGGGCCATTCCTGAGTTCACAGAAGCTAGGACTGTTTAGCCTTAAAAAGGAAACTCTCTGGAGGCATCTTATTAGTAGATATAAATAACTGATGAGGGACTGTGAGGAGGACAGAGCCAGACTTTTCTTAGTGGCAGCCAATGACAGGAGAAGATGCAGTATAAGAAATACCATTTAAATACAAGAAAACTTTCTTATTGAGGGTAGTCAAGCACTGGCACAGCAGCTGACTCTGCTGTGAGCAAGGGTGTTCAACTAGACAATCTACAGAAGTGCCTTTCCACCTCAACCTTGCTATAATTCTCCATGCCTTTGTTCAAGGTAGTCTGAACTGTGGCATTCTCACATTCCCTGTGATGTCTGTGGGTAAATTTTAGATCTCATCCTGACTCACCCTTTCCAACAGAAATACCAAAGGGGAGAAGCTTTCTGCTTCACCATCTAGGAATTCAGAGATTATAATCACCATCTGTATAGCTGCTGCAGTGTCTTTTAGCATCACTCCTACCTTCTCTTCTATCTCGAGTCGTGCCTGCAGACACTGTAAAGCAAGTACTATTTTATTAGTACTCATTTGTATTGTACTCTTCTTGATTATTGTAAGTAATAATATTACCACATATAAAAAAAAAGAGTTACTGCTGCTGTGTTGTCCTACTACAGAACTAAATGTCGTCTGGTATTCCCACAGTGAGTTAACGGTGACTATCTTATTTTGTGCCTGTGGAATGAAGAAACAGAAGCTCACCATGAAAAAAATATGCTAGAGATTTCATTTTGCAGCAGCAGCTGTCTGTGGATTCACACAGAAATGTGGCCATACAGTAGTCTGTAAGGCCGAGACTACTCACAAAGGCATAAACGTACAGATTTAAAAATCAATATGGGGAAAAGAAATGCATAGGAGCAAATGTAAGCCCATTAAGTAAGCCTGAATTACCTGAATTTAAAAAGTGTAGGAGACAACCATTTTTAGTTAAAAGTCTCTGTATAATATGTGCCCAGTTCAGACTGCTTTGGTGACAATGAATACGTATGTACAGCCTGCCTTGCTGTTAGAAATCTCTGTCCCAGAGTGAGTTACTTGCAGCAGGGCTCAGAGCCAAGGACACGGCCTGCTACATACTTTGCCAGTTTCAAAAGGGTGTGCTATGGTATCCCATGCTTAAATACCTACAAATAGTACAAATAAGATGCCTGACTGCATATCTCTGTTGGATAGTGCCGTATCTGACTTGTAAAAGGAGAAGAATTAAACACAGTATTACCAGCAGAGATAAAACTCCATCTGGAAATGGACTCAAAAGGCTACTCCTTAGTAGGTTGCAGCACCTAAATGGGTGATATACATAGGAGTTTTTCAGATCAGAGATCTTTCTTGCATAAGAAAGAATGGTGCTTAATTGTTTTGAACTTTTTATAGTCAGTTTCTTCTGTCTAATGAATAAAGAATGTTTAAGTGCCTCATACCTGTTGAAAACAATGATTTCTAGCTCTGTTGCATGACGTAGATTTACAGTACTCACCCCTTAAATCTGCTGGTGACCTGTGCTGTAACAGAACAGTGATGTTCATAGCATACCCTCTTTAGTAGTCTCAAAGAGCTTTAATGGGAAAAATAAATCACTATGATGTTTGCTATTGCACTTGCAAAGTTTTGAGATAAAGATTTCCCAAACTATCAGTGCAAAACTGCAATCTTTCACAGATACTTAGCTAAAAAAAGGAGGGCCTGCCAGCCTTGAAACTTTTCCACTGGAAGTGCAGAGAGAGTGAGCACCCTACTAGGGTAGTCAGTGGTCTAGGCATGTTGCTGCCTTTGGTGTGGGATCAGGCAGCAGTAATCTGTGTCTCACTTCCTAGGTGAGTACCACAGCCTTCAAGAAAGTGTCTTTCCTAGTTCCTGTCTCTGGCACTGAAAAGGAAGTCTAACTTTGACCTCAGGAAAGTTTTGTCAACCATAGTTTAGTTGCTGTTTGCATGGATGCACATGTGCGTGCACACACACAGATTGAGCGTTCTCTGTATCAAATTCCTGGCCAATTCTAGTTCTGTGAAAGTGACTAATAGAATCAACTCACCCACCACTGGTGGTGCATACCTAAGCAAACAGATTAGGGCAGGAACTGAAGAGAACTCTGCATGACTTGTAAAATGTCTTAACTTCAGATTTTGTTGGGGTATTCTCTTTAAACACTTTGCAATTACAAAAATGCTATGGTATCTCTAGTGATCACATATCATGAGAGCATCAGTTTCATGTTGGAAGAACTGAAAACAGCATTTCAGCAAAACATGGAAATATTTTCTAGCAATTAGACAGAAACTGGCAACACTTCCTTTTTCAGATAATTTATAGGCTGTATTTCAGAACAGTCAAGGCAAAGCATTTCTGAATAAGTGACAGGTTTTTACAAAAGTTTATAATACTATAAGATTATAATAATGAATTTAACTTGGAATCACATAATGATTATCAGAACAAGTTTGACTTCCTCTCAATTCCTCCAGAGTCTTCCTTTTGCAGCCTTTCATTCAACCATGGAGGTTGTGACCTTCCTCTGGATGCCATCCACTTACTGAATAAGACTTAGACTGCATCCCTTCCTATTTCACATATTTGTTGCACAAAGCACTAGTTACCTGGTCCTATGGAGCATTGAAAAGCAAAAGAGGACAAAGGAAGCCCATGTCCACTTCTAGCATCATGGCTGCCCTGCATCCAGGAACCATAAACCAAATGCTTAAGGTGTATTTCTGACAGAGCCATCTGAAACCTGAGAGTGAAGTCACTTTGTCCACTCACAGCATCATAGAATCATAGAATAGTTAGGGTTGGAAAGGACCTTAAGATCATCAAGTTCCAACCCCCCTGCCACAGGCAAGGACACCTCACACTAAACCATGTCACCCAAGGCTCTGTCCAGCCTGGCCTTGAACAACACCAGGGATGGAGCATTTGCAACTTCCTTGGGAAACCCATTCCAGTGCCTCACCATCCTTACAGTAAAGAACTTCCTCCTTATATTCAATCTAAACTTCCCCTGTTTAAGTTTGAACCCATTACCCCTTGTCCTATCACTACAGTCCCTAATGAAGAGTCCCTCCCCAGCATCCCTATAGGCCCCCTTCAGATACTGGAAGGCTGCTATGAGGTCTCCACGCAGTCTTCTCTTCTCCAGGCTGAACAGCCCCAGCTTTCTCAGCCTGTCTCTTCCACTCCATGAAGGAACCACAATTACCTTGTGATCAGTGGTAGCAAAGCAGTTGCTGTGTTTAATAAAAGCGTATGGATGTCTGGTCTTTCTTAATCATAAAAAGCAAAGTAAAAACATGAGAAACAATAATGGAAGTTAATCTGAAAATTGCAGTATAAATTATGACATTAATAATAAGAATTTTGATGCCAGATCTGTGCCTGCAGCTTACATATGTGAGGGGAAGGAACAAGAGTTTGGAACCTATTTTAAAACTATTATAATGGCATTACATTATTGCAGAGACACAAAGAGTAAAGAGCTTAAAACGTTTCATCTTAATGAGAGTACTATAAAAAGACTAGACAAATAGTCATAAAATAAAATATGATATAATGAATTAGTTTGGCATTATAATAGAAAGGAAAATATTATTAATTTGTGAAGCAGACAGTCATCTTTGCTACAGAATTAAAAGTGAGAGAGCTCTTATAAATGCTACCCACACAATGTAGCACCTCGCCAAAGCTCAACTATGAAACCAGCTTATTCTGCTGATTACTGTAGTTCTAGCCATCTTTCCTGCATGTAAAACATTAAGTCAGCCAGTTATGAAGCTATCAAATGTTTCCAGAGTGTCACTTACCAGAAGGATTTGATAACTTACACAGAAATGAACTGTTTTGCTTTCTGATCTTGATTAAGTACCGCTAGCACACCACATTTTGTGAACAGTTTCAGATGCCGATTATTTTTCATTCTTGTTTCCCCCCTCAGGTATTTCTACAATTTTTGTCCAGCTCATTGCATCTAAATTTTTAATCCCTATGATGCAAATTATTTAGAGCAGCATTTGTTTTTCCATAGTACCGCCTAACACTGCTTTTAGTGCAGAAGAGAAGGCCTATTTTTAGTCTGAGTTTGGCTGAATTTGTTTAGCTTCAAATGAAGTAAAAAGATTTCAATAGCAGAAACTAGACACCATGTTTAGCAGGTAAGACGGCCAACTCTGAAAACATACAAGAAAAGAAGTCTTACCAGAGTTTCTACAGAACTTCAAACATCTCCATTTTCCCCACTCACTTGAAGAGAGGTCTCTGCAGTGAGGCTGAAGGCCAACAGAGACCAGATTTCAATGAGAATTTTCAGAGGGAGGAAGGAGGTTGAGATATTTCTTATAGTTTGTGATGATGCAAATGCTCAGCACTAAGTACTGTGGAAGTTAGTACATACCAATCCCCTCACACTAGGGAGGAAGACTTCATAACTTGCACAAAAGTAAGCAATACTGTTGGCCCTATTTGTTCCTAGTTCAAGGGAGATACAAATCCCCAAGTGGAAGCTTTAAAAGCAAGTCTAGGGTCTTGTAGAGCAAGATTCAATTATTGCCTCTGTGTACTGAACTCTAGGAGTCTCTGGGGCCTGGCTATTCAGTTTCTAGTTTGAAAGAAGCATGGAGTATTTGCTCAGTGTAGATACTGGTATTTATGTAGAAACAGCAATCTCATCTTTTTCATGTAAATGGTGATCTTAGCCCAAACACTAAAGTTCATTTCCCATAGCAAACCCACATCCCAGACACTGATCCTGGCTGGGAAGAACAAAGCATCCTGCTGTTTGTTTCAGGTTTCAACACAAGCTGCTGCACCACAGAGCATGAATGCTGATAAATCCCACCCATGACACAGCATAGTCCAACAAGATGTTACCCAGTTTTTCGAGCTTTCCCAGTTGTGTGTGTTCTATCACATATCCTGTTACCAGAGGTGGTTGTCTTGAAGTCCCATCTGTTGGAATCAGGTAATTATGTGAGAAATTCCATTTCCCTTAAAAACAAGGTCTTGGTTTTTGTTGGAAAAAACCCAACTAATCCAAAAGCTGTCCAATGATGAAGGAAATATATCTCAAAATGGATTTTTTAAGTCAAAGTCATAGCTGTCAGATTCCCTGATATGTGATTTCTCAGGGTAATTCCACGATTTTCCTGCACTCTGGCAGGGCAACTCTGCGCAACTTCTGCTGCACAGTTACTGTCAAGGATACAGTCAAGGATACAAAAGATGACTCTAATGACTAATGGCCATCAATACATTCTTTTTTATTTTGAACAGTCAATATTTCATTAATTACTGAACTGGCTGTATTATAACTAATAAGTAAGATTTGCTTTCTTATTATCAGTTCTCCTGGTGAATAAAGAAGTACTATAGAGCATGTTTGCAAGAAAATTACATGCCTATGAACACTGTGCTATAGCAGAATTAATCCAGATTCTTTAATTAATTAACAAAATAATTAATATTTTGGGCTTGTAGTATACTTATATTGAAAAATGCCTCTGCCTTACCACTTCTGCTGGAGGAATCTTGCCTATTGCTGATGCTGTGAAAAAAAAGTAACTTCAAAGGCTTGGGACCTCATTTATACCATGGGGAAGTCTGAACAGAACAGAAACATTGTTGTGTAGAAATGTCCCACCCCAGAACACCACATGAAGCAGATCAAGCTAAATGTTTTGAAGTACTGCTCTTTCAAAACAGCAGCCAGAAGAGAATGGAGGAGAAATACCGTCAGTGAAGAAACTGAGAACTTCTTGTTCAACTGTAACTTCATAACTACTAAAAAATGTTCCTTAAGACAGCTGACTTTGGAAATAGAAGTGTCAATTTTAAAAGTTAAAAAAGAATAGTGCAATTTTGAGTAGTTCATAATCTCTTACTTCATGGAAGCATCTGCCACATCACATCATCAGAAATTATTAATTTGTCCCTTACTTGAACTTCAGGGACAATTTTTACAACCCTCTTTCCCATAGTTACTAAGATCTTTTATCAGTAACTGTTACTTGCTCAAACATACCACAGTTCCGCACCATTCCTCTTTGATATAAAATATATAAGTGCCCTTCAATAAGACTGCTCTTTTATCAGTCACAAAAAAACATTCACACAAAACGATAACAAAGTCATGTAAGTGCTGAATGTCTGTGTGAAGAAGTACAGGAATAATTATGCCCAAGTGATGTTTAAGAATCTGCAGGATCAGCAGAGCGTGGTGCTGCCTATTTGTAATTCTTTCCCCATTCTCTGCAGCTCAAAGGTTTGATGAATTTCACTCCTTTCCCACACTTCCCTCCAAGCCATAAGCCTGCATTCAAAATTTAGGTTACCCTCCTAGGGACTGTAGCAGCCCCACAGCCTCACTGTGTTAGAAGCTAACTTGAAGTACCATTTACGTGTTCAAGCAAGCATGCAGTTTAGAAATGTCAAAAATAAGTTGCTTTTCGTAATGCATAAAACCATCTGCTATACACCAGCCTTCTTTGGTTTGGATTTCGTTATAGAACTCTTGGCTGCATCATCTGATTCCTATTTATGCCTTTTCTAGAGGCAGAGCTCTTTAGTTATGGTTCAGACTCTTTCCATCGCAGGGAAAACTGATGCATTTCCTGATTTATTTTTCATGGCTCACTCTCCAGCAACAGTTTTGTCTAGGATAAGGAAGAAGCCAGTCATATCTTACCTTTCAGCATACTTTGCCTCTAAATCTCACCTCTGGCCCTCACACATATACATGCTCTTTGAAGCTGCAAAGCTTGAAGGCAGTACTCAGATGGGAATTGTATCAAATCAGTTAGGAGTTATGTGGCCAATGCAAATGTTAGCTTTTCACTAGCAAGAAATTAGGCCCAGGGGAATCTTGAGCAAAGGTCAGGAAGTTAGGAAGGATAGGAATAGGTCAACAAAAGTCTGCCATGGGTCCTTGATTATTTGTTTTTTAATTTGGTAAAGATCTGTGGAAAACAAGAAGGATGGATTTTCCCTGCAGACCGCAAGGCCTGACTGAGTAGTGAATTCAGATTCACATATTCCTCCAAATAGTGGGGAATCTGAATATTTCACAGGAAAATCTCTAATGCTAAAATGATGGAGTGCTCATTGCCTACTGGGAGAGTAGCCATTTGTCATATGCTTTTCTGTATCAACTAGGACTCTGGTAATGGCAAATGGCGGGGGGAGAAAAATAGTTCAGATAAAAAGTGGATGAAAACAAAGATAGAATATTGGGGGTGAGTAGGGGTGTATGCCTATGTCATTGTCCTTGATGCAATCAAGTATACCTGTGAATGCTCACTTAGGTGCAGCCAGAAACTTACTGTCTCTGTTCCACAAACAGGCTGACATATCTCCTGCCTGGGTGAAGCACGTACCAAAAGAGACTCTTCTGGAACCTCAGCAAGCAGTATGGTCTCGTTATTAGGCTGTCCAGGTAAGAATCTCAGTTACATTTTTAAACTCCCTGTTCTAATAAGCAGAGTTCTAACACCAAATCCTTTTGCCTTTGCTTTTCACATTTTTCAGATGAGTCAGGATTTCCTCTTTATTGCCTTTTCTGGGATGTACACTAACCAAGAGTTTGCACCTTTCACATTAGTACTGCTGTGATCTGACAGAAAGCTACATCTGTCTTGCATATAACAAATTTTTTTGAGTGCTGATAGTGGCAAGACACTCTCCAAGTATCAGGGAAAAGCAGAGAGCTCAAGGTCCTGGAGGGCAGCACAGAGCATCAGGGGAATAAAAATTCCCTAAGGTCTGGGCTCTGCAGTCGTCAGAGCTAGCTGCTATATGGACCATGTGGAAGCACAGAGCATCAGGGGAATAAAAATTCCCTAAGGTCTGGGCTCTGCAGTCGTCACAGCTAGCTGCTATATGGACCATGTGGAAATAGGTATAAAGATCATCTCTGCGGGCACTTAGGCTCCACTCATCTCTGTAGTGCTAGATATATATTATGAGAGTATCATCATCAATAAAATCTGAACTGAAATCCCACTTTGGTCTTCGCTGCTACATCTGCTGATTTGAGTGCACCTATTACCCTGCCAGAAAATTCAAGTGGGGAATCTGGCTTAGAACAAAAATGATCATGCTTACTCATATATCATTTAGCTCAGGGAAGGCTGCTACAGCGGTAAGGAAAGCCAGAGAAAATTAAGCACTGCAGAAATAAGAGAAGGTTGGAAAAATAGCTAGTGAGGATGAAAAGAAGTTCAGAACATCCAGAGAATTTGGGCAAAGTAATTTGCAGCAGGATAATTCATAAACATCATGATAGGAATTATTTAAGTGTAGGAGCAAACACAAAATATTGCTATTGCTGTTTGTGAGATGATAGTTTCTGTGCTGCTCTCCCATAACCTTCATTATTCAGGTAATTTAGCAATCTGGAGCTTATTTAGGGCAGAATTCTTCTCTGATCATTATAGGTGAATGTAGCCTGTTCGTGCTTTCCTGTGTTCCATACACAGGCAAGGAAATGCTAGTGGACTAAGAGGAATTAGTCTGGGTGGATGCAGAGGGCCTAACCATGGTCAGCTTAGCTGCCATAAATGAAGGTGAATTGAAACATGCACGGGTTCTACAGTGACACAGATTCATAACCATCTGTGGTCAGAGGTCATGAGGCTGTTGATAAGGGTCTAAAGCATCTCTTTACCCAGGAGGGATAGGCTTAGAAAATAATTTACTTGAGCTGCTTTTGGATTGCTTAAGAAAACTAAGTTCTTGGTCCCACTGTATATGAATTGTCAAGGAAAAGAAAAAGAAGAAACAGTTGATTCCTGATTAGGAGTCAGACACATGATTCAGGGGATGTCTGAGCCTACTCATTGCTGTGGTGGAAAAAAAGCCTGCCCTGAATAATTATTCATTCTTTGCCAGGGTAAATGTATTGGAAGACTTCACAGCTTGTACAGGTGGGTGTGTGGGTTAAATTTACCTTTAACAGTCGTAGAACACATTTCTCTGAGCAGGCTGCACTTGAATAGGCAGAAATTCAGTGATTTTTACAGCGATATCAGATGTGTGACCTTTGACCAGTTTTTATCCCCAAAACACCAGGTTAGTGGAAAATTAGGGGAAAAATCCCAGACTGATGTCAGAATACTAAAATGCCTTCAGACTTACACTTAATGCACTACAATTGTACATCAACATTGAGAGAGCAGTTATCACCTGGAAATACTGGCAAATTGGGATTGTGAGTGTTTATTTGTACAGCTGGAAGTGATGGCAGATGAAGGGGCAAAAGGGGAAAAGCAATGAGATCTGGTGTTCTGGGAGCTGCTGCCACTGCAGGAACATGGCGTTAGAGGGCTGTGGGGTTTGGGTTCACAGTTACGAAGCCAAAAAGATGGAATCACAGGTGTGAAACGGAGACACATGCTGCCATGTATTTGGGTTGCAAGGTGAAATTTTGGTAGCAAAGAGTCAAAGTAGTGGGTAGTATCTCAGAATGCTGCAATTGTTTGAAGTTTCTATCTTTTAACTTTTTAACTGTTTTTTTTTAAGCTTCTATGCTTTAACTTTCTATGATTCTATGATAAGTTCCAGCAGCTTTGTGTGTCAGCTAGCATTTAGTGAGGGAGAGTGTCAAAGAGGTGCAAAGAAAACAGGATTTGAAACTAGGACTAACTTCTTGTACAAACATCTACAGGAGATGCTGTCAAAGTCATTAGAGGTACTTTCTGCAAGTAACTTTGCTGGAAATGGAAAGGTGATTGGGTGGTTGGTAGTGTCTCTGACCACATCACAGCAGCTCTAAGCAGACAAATAGAAGACTTGACAGGTTTTAATGGTGGCATTCTGAAGAAGAGAGCTGAGAAAGTAAGTGTTGGCATGAGCACACAGGCTCACTCAGAAGGGCAAAACACAGGATCAGAGGGGAAAGGTTCATCTTGTCATCACTGCTTTCTAACATGTAGCCACTTCCTGCTTCTTCTGAGAACAGTGAATAAGAAATGAACACGAATTTGGGCAAAGCTTCAAGGTTTTTATTGAATTGTACATAAGTAATAAACAAGATTATACACTGTTGGTATTTTCATGGAAAATAGACTCAGTTAAACACAGCAACATACTTCTGCTTTCTGGATAGATGCTAATTTAGCATTTGTAAAACACAAGGCCCCAGCACAGCTGGAACATCCTCCCAGCAACAGCCTAAGAGGGCTCCCGCTGGGCAGCTTTTCTCCACAACCAAGTTGTCAACACTGGCTCAGATATCATCAGTGTTAACTCCAGCCCAGCACTGCTGGGACACAATGCCAGTGAAAGGAGCTGAGATCAGGCTTTTAGAGCAGCAGTGTCACCAGTGCAAGCCTACAGTGATGTCCCTGTGGCAGTGCAGAACACTAATGCCAGAAATGGAAGCAATAAATAGCAATGCAAGGGAACAAGTTAGCATTCCTTTGTACATTAGTGTGCTCTTCTGCCTTTGCTCCCAGACCTATAGGATTAGCCTTGAAATGACACTCAAGCCTGTTGTAATAGTGTTTTGGATTTCAGTTAATTGATAGACATGGTGAAATCTGACAGTGACAGCTGCAACAGCAATAACTCTTAATGCCATACATATATATATATGTATATATATATATACTACATATTGGTACAATACAACTCAAAGAATCAATGGACTAATGTAGCCATTTTTATGTGACAGGGTCAACCTTGAAATATTAATGCATGAACTATTTATTCTCCTTCAAACCGTAGAAGTTACAAAGAATATTCTCTCTGCTCCCTCTACACCTTGTAACGAGACAGCTAATTTTGTTTCTTTAACTTAGGTGGATTAGCAGACTCCATCCCATCTAGGAAATGGTTTTTTTTCCTTGTTTCAGTTAACAGTGATGTGGAATGGAATCACTTTTTTCTCTAGCTTTTCAGAAGGCATTTTCACATAGACCCCAGTAGTGAGACATCGTCTTCTCTTTATCTATAAAATACAGGAAGACAGTAAAATAAAAAAGTGATTACAGCATAGTCATTGACCAGCACATTTTGGAAAGAACTGATGAATGTTATGCCTGTCCTGAGCAGAAGGTATTTTAGACACCTTTTCCTTCCACCCCTCTTTGTAGAAGACCCACTGAGACCATTTGAGGGAGAATCAGGAGTTACAGGGGCCATTTAGCAAAAAGCAAATTCCTGCCATTCATTTAGCCCTTTGAGGGTGCTCCTGCCAAGGGTCAGTCCTGCTGACCTGAGCTGACTGCTTTCTGGTACTCTGGCAACACAAATGAGCCATAAACAAATCTAAATGGCAGCTCCAGCAAGTTGTCTCAATTTGCATAATTGTGACAGCATTGATTGCATCAGTAAAAAGGAGAATCCCAGGGCATTTGTTCCCAGTGTTCTTCCCTGTTCTCTTTTCTTTCTCCTTATCCCCATCACACAAAGGGGTGTTATTAGCAGGACGGGCCTGAGTTGATGGACTTACCAGTTTGCCCATGAGAATGGCTGAGATGATGATACTGTAAAGAAAAAGTCCTGAGGCAGTCGCTCCTAATACCCATAGATACATGGCTGTGTCTGGACAAGGTTCTGGATCTAAAACATATGATATCACACAAGTCAATGTCACATGTGAGCCTCATGAGGAAGCCCCTAGAATCAATGTCAGCCTCCACACTGCTTTTCTCTAGCATGTGCTATCCCAGGATACTACCAGGACTGAGCTCTGGGTCCCTGCTCACTCAACCTCTGATGAAAATATGCTTCATCTGTAAGAGAACATAGACCTTACTCTTCACTGTTTCTGCCCTTACATATCTAACTGCCAAGACATACGTGTACACTGTATGGTATTGTTTATGTTGTCAAGCATCCGTACATTGCTATATATATCACATGGCTATGACGGCAGGCTTTACGTGTGTGCAGGGAGGCCTGAAAGGAATAAGAGCTAATCATGATTCTCAGAGTTTGGATCAGTGTTCAGCCTCACTTCTTACAAACAGGACTTTGAAGACCTCTGAGACATAACAGTAGCTCCCTTAACCTGGGAGTATTACAGTATTGTAAAGCTGGTTGGCTTACCAGTGACATAGAGATGAGTTCCGTTTCCCTTGTTCATAAAATAGGGTGGAGGGTACATCCTTTCCATCTTGCAGATGTAAAGACCAGTATCATTAGCTTGCAGGCCACTGAGGGTGAGGGTCACATTGTTTTGGCTAGGGCTAACACGGCACTGAATGACCTCTTCCACACTGAGGGTTTTTAACTCCGATGTGTAGGTTGAAGCACAAATTTCAGTGAACTGGTCACCTGTCTGTTTAAGCAGAGTCACTCGAATTTCCTTTGCATTCCCAATATGCTTGTATTTACACACCAAGTTGGCAACTCCTTGCCTGTTGGCCAGCACCATTGCTGGCTGAGTCACTTCCATTTCTGTAAGAAAGTAAAGAGCATGATGGTAAGTGAACGGTCAAGAAATGATTTGCAGTCATTTACTTGAAACCTGCACAATAGGAAGGGAGTCCTTCCACCTCCTATATCCATGGGTAATTCCTAAAATTGCTTCCAAGAAGAAGGACTCCAAGACCGCAATCACATTGGCACTGCATTAATATACTTCAAAAAGCTCAAGAAGTGCTTTGATTACTATAAATGGTATTATAAATCCCAGCAATTACTTATTTCTTAAACATCAGGTAATTTGGCCCACTTACTGGAGCAATGACTAGAGCCATGCATGCTCATTCCCTCAGTGCAAACATTTTAATATACATAAGAAAGCAAAACAAGAGACTGAAAATGGTAACGGTGGAATCTGAAATTCAAAATCATGCACTTAAACCACGATTTCTGCTCGGTAGAAATAAACATGTTCACATTTAGAAAAAAACCCCAGTTGACATCCTGTATGGCACATGGAACAGAAACATTAGGGCAACGGTAAAAATGGATAGAAAACCTGTTTACAGATTTTTGTTTCTGACCTTTTTTGCTCCTCCATTTTTAACCAGCTATTCCCAAGCCACAGTACAGCAACAGTATATACCCCAAGCCACAGTATAGCTACAGACAGCAAAACCTGATAAATATACTGGAAAAAGTCACTACAGATCTTGAAGAGAAACTAGTGTACCATGTACATTCGCACCAGCTGCTTTCTACGCCTCTATACTCTCTCCTGTATAGAGGAGAGTATATGGAAGGCACTGACTTGCTTTAATGAACTGGGAAGGCACAGTATTATTTTTTCAACTTCATTTTCTATCAGTCCATTTGGGGGTGGGGCTTCTTCAGCTCTGCAGTGCAAGAGTTTGGGATGAAGAGAAGTACTTTCTCCATCCATTCAAACCTCTATATCCACATTATCAGCTGCCAACAGCTCCACTCACAGAGACTGATTTGTCAAAGTCTTTCTTCCTTTTTGCAATACTCTGAATCCTTCCCAGCCTCTCTACAGATGCTACTGCTCTATAGTCTGTGACTGGTTTTCCAGATACCTTGCAGTCTCCCAGGACACTGTCCCCATACTGTCTATGGAGCAGTCCCATGTCATCTCCGTCTCCCTGCTGTACACAGTCCATTTCCCGCAAATGTCTACAATTTCCCGAGAAAATGTAGACACCCCCAGCTATCTGTCCTTCTTCATCTACCCACCTTGGACAATGGCAGTGGCTCTGCAGAGAAAGCCCACGGTGACCAATATTGAGAGCATTCCTGTGCTGGGACAGAGGCTGAAGGTGGCTGATGCCTTCCAACTTAAAGACAAACTGGAACTCTCAGGGCTGGAATAAAAGGCGACACCTTTCAGGATACTGAATCTTCGAAATAATTTAACCCACACAGAGTCAGTGTGTATATATATAGCTTTGATCCCAGATGCAGTACCTGAAAGTAACATGAAGCTTTGTTTTGGTTTTACGAGAAAGGAAGCAGTGGGTTTGATTAGTACGTGCACAGTTAACCTCAAACAGCACGAACAAAAACAAGTATTCAGCAAATGGAAAAATATATATTCAATCTGAAACTGCCATCCATTCTGCTTTAAGAACTGGGGGAGGAAAGATAATCATCCCATAGAGTACTTCAGGCCCTTTAGTGCTGCCAGTTTACACAATCATGGCACTTAATATTTTAGGAATCGTTAGGTATTTTCTATGGGGACAACAGACAGAGAACTATACTTCTGCCTGATGTGGGCAGTGAATCAGTGTGAGCTAGCTTTTTCATGGAAGACTTCCATCCACCCCCAATTTCTTTGCTTGCTTTAATGATCGTGCTTTTGATGTCTGAAAATTGCTGCCCCCTTCAAAATACTCATTACACTTGCAATGACTTCATCCTTTCATACCAGCAATGTGACTTGAATCATAACCTAGCTTCTTTAGGCTTTCCCCTTTCCAAGAAAAAATGATCTAGGTTTATAGCTAATGACTTCCACATCTATACAGAAGTTTCCTACCTACAGACTTTACCGTCCAAGTACCTTGACATCCACAGATGAAAAACACTGCAGGATCTTTGATTATTGCTATCTCTGCTTAGAGCACTTGAGTCATATCAAATCTCAGTGAAACAGTTTTCACCCATTGGCCTTTTAAAAGTCACGTAAGGCCTGAAAAGCATTTTGCCTTTTTATATGGTAGACTGTCATATCCATGAATCATTGCCTGAAGAATTCCATAAAAATGAAGTTACACTTCAGTTACGCTGAAGGTCATCTTTTTTTTTCTCATACTTTGAGAAGTATTTTAGATGGTACTTCATCATTTATATATGTAGATCTAGTAGACTGCAAAGACCTAGTTTGGGACTGTGACCTAGAAAAGCTAACAGCACTAATTCTTGAGCAGTAGCTTGCCCAATCCTAAGATACAGGATAAATATTTTATCTTGAAATCACATAAATGCCTAATGTTATAAATAAATTTACTGCTTACTTACTTAGGTGAAGCAACAATTGTTTGTAACGACAGATTCATAGTCAGTTGGATCTTAACCAGCATTCAAAACAGAACTGATGATAAATAAAAATACAGCTATGGGAAAACAAAAAACTGCACTCTAATAATGAGTCAGGCACATACTGTACTACTGGTTAGGCAAGCATAAATCAATTTTGATATTAAACGCAATATTAAATAAATGCTATTGCAACATCATGTACTAGAATATCAGTGAGATTTATGGCATGAAATTACCAGGTAATTCCTGACATATTGAGAGTAGTGACCGAATTACCTATTCTATGTATCTTTTGGATTTCGATGTTGTATGCAGTTAAACAAATGATGCATTTGAACCTCATAAAGCATAGTGTCATCACCTGATAATTGATTGAGACTACAAATTCATGGTGCAACTAACCCTTAAACACTTGCAAAGGATTGCCATGTAAAATGTGCTCGCTGCCCCACATATCCACAGTATCGTATACAGCTAGAGTGAGAGGCAGTGCTATGGCACTCCTGTCTTTGGCAGTTGAGACTGCTCTGGCAAACTGTGTTTTCAGTGGTACTTGTGTGGCTGTTTTGTTCTCAGGGTTCCTTTACACATCGGCAACTTTTCACATTTTACCCTCATTCTTCCTTAAAAGCCTCACATTTTGATGACTACTCTTCTAAGTAGGCCGCAATATGTCTCCCTGGGTAGTCTCCTGAGGTTGCCTCTGTCTTCACAGCCAGGGCAGTCTGAGGGGAGTCCAGAGTTTTCCCCTTTTGATGGATACCTTGCTGTGCTGCTCTCCACCCTTGCTAATCAGATTTTGGATCTTAGTTAACATACACAAATAGCAGATGGATGATGCAGTAAAATAGAGATCTTGTTGCAAAACCAGTCTCCACTGCTTGCATCCTTCCCAGCTGAGTTATGGCATGGAACAAGGTCACATGGAACCTGGATGCATTTACCCTAAAATAAGTTCCAGAAGAATCACTGGGGAGAGCTTTTCTCACTGCTATGCCTCTCTTCTAACTACTCTTTAGCTGACAAAGAGTCTCTGAGCTTTTGCTTAGTCCACTTTCCCTGAATATCACAGCCCTGCTTTATAAGTGATAGCCACAGGACCTATCTTACCTAGTTACTGCACCTTCTTGTCTGTGTGGTCTGGCATCTTCCTGCCCTGCCCTCCTCATCTTGAGAACTTGTTTTCTTCCACCCTTTCCCTGTAATTGGAAGTTGACACATGGCCAAGGGCCAGGGCAAAGGAGTAGATGAAAGAAGAGCCCTCCCTTTGACTTTGAGATTCAGAAGGACTTTCAGGAAGAATATTCCTCAAGCTGTCTCCAGCAGCCCGTGCTTTGTATCTGCAGTATCCGAAAGCTCAGTTCCTTTAATGCACATACTTATATTCTAGTACTTTTTGTTCCTAGGGGTCATATTATCCCAGGTCATCATATCCCAGGAAAACTTTATACCTTACATATGCTACCATAGCAAAGTCTCAGAGCAGAGGATGGTACTAAGGGCCTTGCAGAGCTAAACTGCAGAGCCCTGAATTGAGGACTTAGCTTTGGAGCGGTTTGGGTCTCATGCACTCTTTGACTTTGGGTCAGAGAGGGACACAGAATTTACTCTGAGCACTGGACTACACTACTGTGATTAGTCAGATTGCTAGTAAGTTAAAGAACTAGGTATCTCATATAAGTTTCTTTCCATTTTGGGTTAGTTGCTTACATTTTAGTGATTTGAATTGCTTTTCTTCATTGAATGCTTGTTAGGGCAAACCTTCCTGCTGACGCCCTGTCAGGATTCCCATTGCAAAGCGTTATTATTCAGAAAATTAGCTTCACACTTTAAAGCCTGTCTCATGCTGCCCATGGTTTTTTTTCTTCTGTGACAGGAACTCGCTTGGTGAATTGCTTGAGATGTAATGGGGAGAAGAGAAGCTTCTCATTTGTATAAGTATCTGGTTTCAGGGTATCTTGTTAAACTCAGAATGTGAGATCATGTCTTGTTATGTTACACAGTTCACGTTTTTACCATGTTAGTTTGCCACAAACCCATTGGGGTTTTGAAATGCATTGTCATTTGAAAAAGAAAAAAATCCAGATCTCTAAGTGGTATGGCTGAAGAAAAAATCTTTTCTACAAAAATAGGTGAAAAGAAAAGGAAATAACAGTGACTGGAAAAACATTGTTTCATTACCATTAAAGTACTATAACCTGATTAGTGTTAAGTAAAGCCCTAGATATGACCAAGTTGGGTGCATCAGTCTTGATTTCTGAAGGAACCACAGTTCACATCACAAAACCACTGATTTTTAAGTCTCTCAGAATTGTGGCCTTTCTGTCAGCTTCTAACCTGGCTTGGCAGATGCTGCTCTCAAGTCATAAACTTGTGCCCTCAGCCCAGCCTCAGCAAAGGCAAGGACAGCACTAGCTGAGAAATTTGCCTTCCACTACTTCTCAGGGCACACAGGGTTGATTGTTTTGTGCACTTCTGCTGACCAGCAGATTGTCCAGTAGGATTTGAGGTGTGGGTGGATGTATGAGTGTCCTTTTTCTTTGTGCTACGGTTGTTGGTATTTCTTTTTTACAGTCTAGGCTTTGTTTCCGCTACTGTAAAGTTAAATATATCCAACAGGCTTTCCTGAAAATCAGTGCATCTATAGTTACCTAACAGAGGGAAAATTACCTCCTAACTATTCATGCGAACCATTATCAATTAACCTTGAAGGTCTGCACTGTACTCCTTACCTGGCTTTGCTACATGTTATATGTAATAGCCCATCCATGCCCCAGTAGCAACCAGGACCCCTGCCTGTGTAAATGTATTTCCCCCTCCTCATGCCCTGTACAGTTTACAGTCAAAATGTAAGATCTGAGATTGTATGGAAAAAGATACATACAGAAATTAGAGGAAATAAAGCGACAGGACTGAGAAGCAACACAGGCGAAAGATCTTCACACCAACTTCCTTACTCTTCTCCAGTTACCTGTAAGGGGTTATGGCAAGGGGGAGATTTCAGGAGGAATTTGAACAGACCCTGAAGTATCTTGGCATATGTTTATGGATTTTAAGGAGCACCACAAATCTCTTTTAATAGGCCAATCACTTGGGAGTAAATACAGAATAAATCAGACTTCTTCATCGAAGAGAGAATACTGAAAGCCAGTCTGTTTTCATGAATAAGCAAAAAAGAATCAAATGAACCCCCCAAGTTTAAAAAGAAGGAGTTACATATAACCTATGATGAGCTGCAGCTACGAAGACATGGAGAAATACTGGAGAAAGGTTTTACTTCTGCTTCCTTTTGTTTCTTAAAGCATTGTGAAAAGGAGTAACAGCAAAAGGTAGCTGTACTTCTGATTGTCTCTGGCTCTAACAGTGCAGTGGTTGTATTTATCGAGAATGCAGTCATTACAAATGATTAAAAAAAGAAGAGATCATTACAAAGCTTTGCTGAAGACATGTGAAGAGTGTTCTCCAAAATAAGATGCATAAGAAATACTTTAAAAGATGGAGTGTAATTCATGTGGCATATAGCTTAAGTGCCTACTTTCAGTTTTCACAGGGTTAAGTCCCTGATTAAAAAGAAAATATATATACGTAATGCAATATATTACATTAATATACATTAACAGCATTTCAAACTATAGGATCAAAGCAGGGCTCCTGGAAAACCTAGAATTAAACCTGTAACATTTATAAAGCAGAGCATTCAAAGAAATTTATGTAAATGAGATAGTGCCCCAGCTCAGAGGACATATAGAGAATACAAATATTTGAAAGACAGGAGACCTGACAAGGAAAGGCATTTTCCTAAGCTCACAGAGGGAGGTTC